GATGGCTGAGTTCAGATTTAAAGGCTAGGACTCTAGGAAGGTGTCCCTGTGGGTACCGCCGGGGCGGACATCCTGGAATGTGGAGATTTTGTGTTTTGCCACACAGAGGGAGTCAGCAGCTGATGGAATGAGATCAGTTAAGTGAAGCCTGGCCCCTGTCAGTGGTGTCCTGACAGATCAGCTTTCTGGGATGATGTCTGGGGAGGAGGCTGAACCCAGACGAGGGAAATTGCTGCTTCCGTTTCCCTGCCGAAGTCACGGCAAGAGGGTTAATTTGTGCTGACAGTTTGTTTAAATTCTCTGGGCTTTTACGTCTATTATTATTTATGTCACAATGAGAGCAGTGGGTAGAGAAACTGCTCGTTGCTCCTTTTTTTCTAACTACCAAAATTCCACTCCAGCCTACCCAAGCACCATTCGGTCTTGAATCATTGAATAGCTTTTCATAAACTGTGAATTGGTGGCCTGTAAATAGTGATCTGGAAGGAAGTAATAAAACACTTCCAAAGTGAAATCTGGTTTATAGAGAAGGTCGAGAGACCATTCCCATTGGACTCTGCTTTCCAGAAGCTCACAATGAAGGGACAGGAAATGTGGAAATTCTGGAAGAAACACGGAGCACGTAGGCTGCAGGACCCTAGGAAGGGCTTGACCCGCAGCTTCATACGTCTGGGCACCCGGGGCCAGGGGCCTCTCTGCCTTATCTTCCTCCTCGGGAGGCTTGTCCCGGGCTGACCGTCTCCCTAAAATGTCCTTCCGCTCTGAGTGGTCACTCATTTCTGTAACCTGTGCCCCCGTGTGTTCTGCCACGAAGATAGGGAAGGCGCTGTGGAGCAGCGACTGTGCAGGAACAAAGGTCTCTGAAGGCAGGAGGTCAGATTGTCCTTTCTCTGCAGACTATCAGCTCCCTTAGGTGGTGTTTCCCGAGTCTGACTTTTTCCTGTGCCAGGCGGTAGCATTGGCGGCCGTGCACCTGCTGCAGACATCACACCTCCACCCTTTCCTCGTTAACTTTCTCAGAGAGCCTGTGAGATGCCGCCTGGTCACCTTGACTGGACTCATCTGTGGCAACCAGGATTCCCCACTTAGCTGTCCCGAGTGATTCTTTCTGGACCTGGAGGGCACCGGAGCCGCAGGCCACTCTGTGGCTCGCACCTCTTAGCAGATAGCCAGGCAAGGGCCAGTCTAGGGCGCTGCTGTGGAAGGAGTTGCCGATGTGATTCAGTGGCCTGTTTGGCTGGCTTCATGCTGATCCAAAAGCAGAACACCCCAGGCAGACCACCCCCATCAGTTGGAAGCCCTTTCATAAAAGAGTAAGGCTTCAACCTCCTTCTCTGAGCTGAGATTCTAAGCAGCTGCTGCACCCGCAGTTGCTCGCCTTCCCCTGGGTCTTCTGCTGCAATGCGCCTTTGGGTGCATGCCCAGTTCAGGCTTTTCCCGGGGCTCCAGCCTGCTCCTTCCCTTCCTGACTGCTGTCTCAGGCCCCAAGTGGGGAGAGCCAGTTCCTGCCAAAAACCCTTTGTGTTGATCCCTGACTGACTGCTCCAACCCCCCACGGTGGATAATACTTTCAACACTATTATGAGCATAATGAAGCTTGAAGACTTAACTCTGTCACCCTGTGTTTTGCACTTAAATTCCAGAGCCTGGGGCTTGAAACATGAGGTTGTGCTGCCTAGGGATCACAGTAGCTGCCATCGGGGCCTGGAAAGATCTTAGGAGATCAAACAAGAACACAGACCAGATCCCGAAGCTTTGCACCAACATCACCCCCTGCAGCAGCCCTGGGACGGTGGATGAATGAATGAATGAATGAATGAACAAGTATAAAATGCTGGTGATGTGTCGGTATTGCTCTTACCATCAGAGTATTTCAGTTTGCTCGAGATCTTAAAATATCACACTTCACAGCACTTTTGTATGCGTGAGAGAAATCCGCTTCTTCGCTTTTTAAATGTAGCTCAGAAATTTGGATGGAGAAGTAAATTTATTTTTCTTTTTTAATTGCATTTTTTTGTTGAGGTAACATTGGCTGACAGCGTTATTCATGCTTAGGGCTGCGGGTATACGTCTCTTTAGATGTATGTGACCCCACCACCCCAGCCCCCGGACACATCGTCCTCCACCACCATCCAGCCACCCTCTCTCCTTTGCACCCACAACCCTTCCATTTCCTCTCTGATAACCTTAGTGCTGTGGTCAGATTTCTAGGGGGGTTGCTTTGGTGTAATTTGACCTGTTCTTTTGTTTCTCTGTACTCCACATGTGAGTGAAATCATCCCGTATGTGTCTTTCTCCTTCTGACTTAGCCAGCATCACCCCCGCCGCTTCTGTTCATGTTGTCTCCACGAAGATTCATAACTTGCCTCTGCTTGACCACTTGCTTTCTCTCCTTGGCCAGACCGTTTGAGGCAGTCTGAAGTTCCAAGGGCACAATCTAACAGCCCCGCGTGCTGTGTCTGGGTCACACGAACGCCACTTAGGATGACTGTGTGCTGCCAGGGCGCCTGCGTGCTCTGGGGGCTCCGGCCTGGTCACCGTGGGCTGTGCTGCTTCACGCCGAGAACCCCCATCCTGCTGTGAGGGGCTGACAGCCGCAGCCAGGCTGCCTCCTGAAACGAGCAGAGAGGTGAGGCCGGAGCCCAGTGTATGTTCCCTCCATGTGAACATGCGGGTGGGGTCTTGGGTGATGAGCATGGTGCATCTTCTTCCAGAAGACAGAGATTTTTGCTCTTGAGAGTTCCCTCTGCATCGCCTGCTCCCAGGCTACACCTGGCAGATGGAAGTGCTCCTCCGTGTTTGTTTGAACCGATAGACTCATTTCCATATGGAGAAAGGGACCAGCTGATGAGACCAGGCAGCCAGGCCTCCAGACAGAGGGAGTGACTGGAGGAAACGTCCTACCTAATTCTTCAGACACCCTTGAACTGGAGTGCTGACATTCCTCTGTGGTATGAGATTGGATTTTCCAGGCTGTGTTCAAAGTCACATTCTGATTCTGAAATATATCACTTCCTAAAGAAAGAGAATGCTAGCCTTGGGCTGTGACACTCAAGCTATTTTACCAAAGAGGGATCCCTAATGTGTAACATGAATTTCTCATAAAACTCTAAAAACAGATACAATGGCTGGACCTGACTTTGGGGATTTTTTCTTTTAAGCCTCTTTTTTTTTTCTCCCCAAGCTTGATTGTTTCTCACAGACTATAATTACCCGGGAAGCTTTCGAGTTCTTTCTAGGGAATTTAAGATCATTGGGGATTTGAAAGCAGTTCTAATGGAAGAGATAGAAATGAGACACCAGGGTGCTTGGGTAGAGAATTTCTGTGCAAAGTTGTTTCATTGATTCCTTCCAAATGAAGCGTCCCTCTGTGGTCCCCGGGTCCTGGCCCAGCCCTGATTTCTGCAGGAGAGCAGAGGAAGCCCGCAGTAGGAGACAGGACTGCCTGTTGGGGCTGAGCGCTTTGGGATTTTTATTTCATTTTGTTTTGACAGCCAGAGCCATCTTACAACCTTCCTATTCTTTGTTTCCCTTCCCAGACTCCAGGCATTAATTAAAGACTTCTTCTCACCTTATTCGCAGAGATTCTGTCTGAAAGTTCAGGACTGTCAGAAGAAATGTGTCATCTGACCGCACCGGCCTGATCCTGGGAAAATACCAATAAGCACATTAAACAAAAGAGGAGTTAAGAGGCAATAAGACAAATTTCCTAGACACGGGCCATTGCACTGCAAATCCACTTTAATATCTTTCAGGTTACACTTGACTTGTGCATAGAAAGCGTGTGGAAACAAGAACTGAAATCTAATAATTCTGAGTGAAAGAATGAAATGTGACAACGTTTTCATGATTGAAAATGAAATCAATTGCTTGTTTCGTTGGGTTACGAGAATAAATTGGGTTACCAAAACTTTCATTTAGCCAGGAAGACACCTCTTTTGTTAAGAAAAGAAATGCCTTTGTTTACCAATTATCTATGAAGGAGCAAAGAGTGAGCTGCAGGTGAAGAGCTGCCTTCCAGGCTGAAAGGGGAGCATGGAGGAGTGGAAAGCAAGGCTGCTGAACCTCTCTGCAGCTCAAATTAGCCAGATTTTGAAATGGCAAGCCTGTAATCACCATCAAAAACACTTACTGAATGCCAGCTTTGCATGGTGCCAGGATGTGAGAAAGTAAGAAGATAATATTTCCAGAATATTCCCCAAAAGATACACCCAGAACTTAAGTCAATAGGTCTTTTTAAAAAATCACACAGGTGGGCCTCCCTGGTGGCACAAGTGGTTAAGACGCAACCTATGTAGCTGTCGGCAGCCACTGCAGCACGAGTTCGGTCCCTGGCCGGGGAGCTACCCAAATGGTGCAGTAGACCCCTCCTGTCTCGCCCATTTTCCCCCTCAGGAGTGTATTTCAGTCAGTCTGCCTGTTCTGCTCCCCACTCTGTCTCTGGTGAATCCTCTCACCCCCCCAACATCTCTGGCCTGTACCCCAGTTCTTGTATGCATAAATTAATAAATCTTCAAAAAAATAAATAAAATCACACAGGTGTGTACTAAAAAAAATCATTTATTTATTTTTGTTCAAACACTCTGGTTTGGTATTGGGATTGCATGTATAGAAGTATATCGATAGATGATGTTTGTGTGTGTGTGTGTATATATATATATATATATATATATATACACACATTATGTATATGTAGTATGTATGTGAAAATTTTTGCTTCACTCTTAATTATTTGTAAAGTTGTCGAGTGATTAAAGAGGTAAACAAACAACTAAGACTCGCCCCTGCTCTGTGTGGCATCTGCTGTAGGTACTCAAGTTTGTTGCTAGTTTAATCCCCAGATTGCCTATGAGGACACTCCTACTGGCTGCTCTGTGTGTCTGGGCACAAAGGTGAGGGATAACCTTGTGGCCGAATTCCACATGTGTGAGTGAGTTTCAGTCCAGGTGTGGCCTGTTTCACAGGTAGATGCTTATGCTGACCTTGTCTTTGTCTTCCAGAAGAGGCAGCTCCAGAACTGTCAACAACAAGCAGAGAGCAGGAGAGGGTGCCTCAGAGCCGTGCTGAGGGGAGCTCACCCTGCTCACCACAGCCTCGGACGTGAAGGAGAACTGTGAGTCTAGCAGGGCTCAGTGGCTTCCCCTGGTCACCCTCTTCTTTGTCTTGAGTGAGAACAGAAGCAGCAAGCCTGTTCTCCAAGGGCAAAATGACAAAGACAATAGCGGTCCCATCTGACAAAAATATCTGTGGGTGGAGAAAGTGGTTTGGCTGGGAGTGAGACTGAGTTTCCCAGCTTCCATCTTGATGAACATCCCTTCATAAAAATGTGTCCTCTGGGCTTCAGTCAGGTCACCCTGGGGACTGAACTTGTCTGATGCCACAGTTACGAGCAGCCGCCATGGGGTGGGAACAGACACTGGTGAGGCATGGGGATGGTTGGCTCCAAGATTGGGAACAGAGGGAGGGGAGCTGTAAGCAGGCTTGGCAGAACCAGCTGCCCTTGCTGGAGCCCTGCCCTTTGCCCAGGCTTGACGTCCCCGGGAGCCAAATCATCTGTGCCTCAGAGGCATTGTATTCCATAGAGAAAACCTAATTTCTGTCATCAGTGGTTAAGTCCTGTCCTGCACCGCTAGCCAGGTGACCCTGAGCCACTTACAGCTTTATGATTCTGAATCTCACTTTACTGTTTGCCCAAGTCAGACTAACCTGATTGGGCTGTTGGAAGACGGCAGCAAATGTCCCGGGTGAAGCGCTTGGCACGTGCCAAGTCCTCTGTAAATACTGGATTCCCTTTCCTAGGTTCATCCATCCCAGAAATGTGGGTAATTTGGAGATAGGTTGGTTGTTGTTTCTTTAATGCAAGTATTTTAGAGCAAGGTGCAAACTAATTTAAGCTGAGCAGAAACTACATAGGCGAAGATAATGGTAAAAAAATGGTAATTTTGGCAGTCCATCCACGGAGGGGGCAGAGGGGAGGGGGTGTGTTTCTCAGCACGTGTAGGGATGGACATGGTGGGGCTCCAGGGAAGGTCTGCAGCACGTGGACAGACTAGTGAAGCTCAGCGGGCACCCTCACCCGTGGTGGTCTTTCCCCTGACAGCACCCCAACAGTGTAGGCCAGAAACCAGGTCACCACAAGGTGAAATATGAATTTGAGAATTAAACAGCGATAACCATAATAGGAAACAGGGGGGCAGTCGAGGAGTTTCGGTACAGCTGTCTGCTGTCTCTGAACAGCCAAGGTTATCCAAGGATGGAATTCCAGCATCGTGCATGGGCTGTCTTCATTTTCGCTATTCACTAATTGTAGGTTTGCATTTCTTTCAATAAAGAACCGGGATAACAAGCTCTGTAGTATTAGCATTGACTCGGTCAGTCACAGGAATCACAGAAATGTTTATATCACATGTCATTATTGTGACTATTAAAGTATTATTTATGCTCAGCATGACTTTAAAAATTATGGTAGTTACTAGGTTGTTAATTAGTGCATTAATAAAGGAACACATCTACTGCTTTATCATTTTTTATTATATTTTAATAGCCTGCACTTAATAGAATTGGGTTCTTTGGTAATCCTAAGTATTTCAGTTATTTGCAAACATTATTCAAAGAAGGGACCCATAAGCTTCGCAGAATTTCAGAGTCCACAGCACAAATAGAGCTTAAGTATTCCTGAGAGGGATTTAGAACAAAGGAAGGCAAGCTTTTAAAATTGTGGTGGTTAGAACCTGTTGCAGACCAAGGGGAGACAGTCTTGAGAAGGATATGAAAACCTGAAAATCCAGGTGAGCAGGTATTTTTCAGAGGACAGAGAAAGGAATAGCATTGACAACGTTGTCACTGCATAGAAAAAACTAGCTCTTCCTATGAGGCTGGAGGGAAGTGATAAGATTGATTACAGATGCTGATTCACTTGTTAAGGGGAACTATGGGAGAAAGGTGATTTGATCATTTTTACTTTTTGATATTTGATGATTTCAGATTTTCTTACCATACTGGAAGATAGTGTTTTCAACACAGTTGAGGCATGGATGAGGGTGAGTTTGGAATTATCTTTAGGGCGCAGCTCTCATAAGGCACATGGACACCAGCCACAGCTCAGCAGCTCCCTCCTCATCAGGTTAGTGCACCTCATATCCTCATCAAATCACCCATCACTCCACCTGCCTCTCAGGCCTCAGCTCTCCACTATCATTGGATCTGTAGTCAAAAGCTAGATTTTGCAGAACTCTCGCTTACCAAGGAGTGGAACCATTTCCATCCAGACTCTTCTATGCTATGTCCTTTTTTTTTTTTTTAAGATTTATTTATTTATGTATACAAGAGCTGGGGTGCAGGCCAGAGATGTGGGGGGGGGTTTAAGAGCATTCACCAGAAACAGAGTGGGGAGCAGAACAGGCAGATCTACTGATATCCACTGCTGAAGGGACCAGTGGGGAGATAGGAGAGGTTATTCTGGCTATTTGGAATTATCATTTCTGTAAATTACCAACTTCTCAGCATAGTGTTTTTCATTCATTTCTGCTGCACCATGTGGGTCAGCTCCCTGGCTGGGGATCGATCTCCTGCTGCAGCGGCTGCGGATAGCTTCATAGTGCTGTGTCTTAACAACCTGCACCACTAAGGAAGCCCCATGCTTTGTGCTTAAATAGCATAAAGGATACATCACTTTCCACTTAGCTACATAAATCCAAGTGCGTGGAAATAAAATCCCTTTTCCCAGCTGGCACAAGTTATTGGGGCCTTTCTTGGGAGATATTCAGAGGACGAGAAGACAAGCTCTACGAAATTCCTCTTCCCCATTCCCTCTGGTTTTTGAATCCTTCTCTCAGGGGGCCAGCTGGCTGTGTCCTGAGGATTGGAGAGGACTCGCAGCACCAATAACCCATTCCTAAAGTTGTAGGGAAGATTGGGTCCAAGTGGGCATTCAGGGCTGCACTTAATTCTGGTAATTTGGAATTATCATCTCTGCAAATTACCAACTTCTCAGCAAAGTGTGTGTTTCATTTATTTCTGCCTCCACGGCAGTGAACTGCCTCTATCAGGCTCTCAATTCATATTTGTTTAATGGATGGATGGATGGATACAGCAGAGATTATGTGGCACGAATAAGTATGTGTCCAATTTGCACACACAGAAAATTGGAAATTTAAAAATTACCTAACTAATTAGATCCATGCAGAAATTTGAACTGAAAATCAGACTTGAATATGGATTTTTTTCCCAGGTTGTTATTTAGTTTGTCTGTATTGAAAAAGCAATGAGTAAATCTATGAATTCTTGACCACTTTCAGTTAAAATGTATTATGGCATGTCGTTTATTCTCTCAATAAAAACTGCAGATCAAAACAGTCTGTCCTAATTAGGCTTAGAGGAAAAATAAGAAAACAGAAAACTACTATGTGTGGACTTTGCCATTAAAAATCTGCAATTGTAAATCACGACAGAGTGTACAGGCACCTCCATTCCTTAGGCTTAAAAAAGGAAACGTATTCAGGAGACTTGGTTTCTAGCAAGTGAGGATGATGACTGGGATCATATAGAGGGGTGGAGATGTGAGAGGGTCCCCATCATTCTCAGTCAGGGCACAAAGGGTGAAGCAGTAAGTCCCATGTGATTTCTGGGGTCTCAACATTCCAGAGTGAACTGTTGACACACCTCCGAAGGGGTGGCTCTATTTCACTGTGTAGCTTATTTTTAGTTTTGCTCTGTGCACTGTACCTGCTTCTGAGGCACAAAACTAGATGCAATACATTCCCTAGGGGGCAATTTCCCTTCGATTGCATGAGCCTGTCCCTCTCATCCAATATTATCTCTGAGTCAATACAAATCTCAGACTTTGCACACTGCTTTCCACTTCTGAAACTGTACATCACAAAGGACCACAAAGTATCAATCGGTACAAAACAACAATTTAGGGTAGGAAGTAGTTCTTCCTTCTCGGGGTTCATTTTCAAAGATTTACCAGGGAAGGATTCTGGGAGGTGAGATGAGTTGTCACTTCTACCACCTCCTGGGGGACCCATGAACTGAAAGTCAAACAGAATAAAGTCCTTGTCATATTCTGTCTTCTCTCCTTGTCTGGTCTCATATGATGATCTCAGAGGTGATTTAAAATCCTCCAAATTTGCCAGCCTCACTGTACAGAACGAACAGAGCAGTGCCTACTCTTGTCTCTTGGAGACAAGAGGAACAAAGACAGTAGGAAGAAGGGCAGTAACTGACAGATGGTGGATTTCACATTTTCTTAAAATCTCAAGCATAAGGAAACTGACTGACGGATGAGAGGGGCTGGAAGAAGGTATGGTCCATAGCTGGAGTGAGGAGTGCCCTGCAAGCATTCCTCACTCCTCTCCCAGTCATCAAATCTGCAGTGGCCACACTGTCCCTGAATTTTTACAGTCAAGATGGAGCCATGTAATCCCCACCCCCCCCTATTGGAAACACAGTTTGTGGGAAATCAGAGTTCCTTCCTAAGACAAGTTCAGGGAGGGGCAGGTTAGCACAAAGTGATAATAATGGAAGGAGAGCCCTCCACCCCATGCCATCAATTACACATTGACTTTCGATGAGTTAGCCTTGTGTTGCTGAGTTCTGAGCTTGCTCTGAGAAGGACTGTCTGATAGGACTTGCCGCCATGTTGGAATTGTCCTGTCTCTTGATGTCCAGTAGGAGCTAACCCTGTGATGCTGGATATGTGAAACGTGAGACGTGTAACCGAGGAAATGCCTTTTAAATCTGGCTTGATTTGATTTAAATTTAAGTGGCCATATGTTTAAACAGCAAGCTTCTAGAGTTTAGTAGTCATTTAATTTCACGGTTATTTTAGACAAACAGAAGCAGCAGGTAGTTGATTATATGGAAGACATGGACACAGTGTCATGGTAATAATTCTTGCCCAAACGGTAATATCTTTTATTTTTAAGATGAAGGACTTCCAATTTAAGAGGTTGCACTGAAGCCATTTGATTTCTCTCATATATTTTCCCCTTTTCTTCAAAATCCACTGCATGGGGATGCACAGTTAGTAATAGAAATTGACTTATGACAACAAAGATAGTAGGAAAAAGGACAGTAACTGACAGATGGTGGATTTCACATTTT